AAAAAAAAATCTGGTGTCACCTTGTGTTTAAAAAATTCGACTTAGGGAGGTTTTCCATTCAAGTGTTTCGAGTTAGGGAGGTTTTTTCAACATTATTCTTTAAGGGATTGCAAGGGGGCTGGGGAAAAATTCGACTTAGGGAGGTTTTCGACTTAGGGAGGTTCGACTTATGGAGGTTGGACTGTATTTTGATTTTTTCATTCCAAGAAACCTATTTTCAAGCCAACCTTCCTAGTTTTATGCAGACATTCCACTCATAAAGTTGCTTCATTAATTTTTAACTCAGCTTTTTGAAATAAGCAGCGGAAACATTTCAAGTACAGTATGTGCTATAACGTCTTTCAGACAAAACATTTTTGTGTCAGCAAAAATTTTATGAAACTTTGCCAGCCTAAAAAAGCTTTTTTTTACAGAAATTTACCAGTCTGCAGGCCCAGAAAGGGTTATGTAACACTAACTCAACTAACTTCCTTGTAAGACACGTCAAGGTACATTCTTATTGCCCTTTTCCTTTTGGAATCCCCAGAATAATAGGGCAAATATATCTCAAAATGTTAAATTACAGGTGAACCTTGATAACTCAAACCTCTCTATGTGAAAGACTTCCCTAAGTCAAATTTGTTTTCAGATCCCCATCTGAATCCCCTTAGAACAATAGATTAAAAATGTCCCCAAGTCAAAACCCCTCAAACTTCCAGAAGTCAAATTTTCTGTGGCATAGCTGTTGACCATTATTTTCTTGAAAAAAGAAAGAAAAAATAATAAAAACAGAAATGTATGTGTTCTGAAGGAAGTGGAAGACTTAATTGGGCTAATGAACCCCTGCCTACAAGTTAATTCAAGTAATTTAAGTCTTTTCAAGTAATTTAAGCAGCAATTTCAAGTAATTTAAGTCCTTTCAAGTAGCAATTTAAGCCCCAGAATACCACAAATTTACAATTTTGGGCTATTTTTCTATGTTTCCCAGAACAAAAGAGCTATGTGTTGTAGCTCAAACTTATATATAATTCCAAACATCCCTAAGTCAAAAACTTCCTAAGACAATTTGTTTTTTGCAGGTCCCTTGAAATTTGACTAAGATGAGAGGTTCAACTGTATGAATAAGGTATGAAGAGGACGTTTTTTGAGTTAAGAAGGTCTATATTACACCATTCTTAGCAAGGGAATCCATTCACAACCTAAACAAAAATTGGAATTGGGTAGATTTGACTTTGCAAGGTCCAACACTGTATTTGCTGAGGTATGTCTTATTATACAGTATTTATTTCAAATTCTCTATTAATGGTATGTCAGGGACATCTATTTCACAATATTTTTTCTCTTCAAGAATTCGTTACAGCGGTCACCTGAATAATTAACGCAGATATAACTGTAAATAATTTAGATATTATTGAAAAGTTCATTGACTGCTAAGCAATATAGCTCCAAAAAAACGCATCATTAATGTGATTATCCTACTGCAGGGCATCAGCATTTACCCCTAAATTACCCTTCCATTGTAGATATATTTTATCTCTGAACGTGACTTGACAGATTTCAGCAGGATTTTCAGAATGCTGACAAATATTTGCTTTCCTTGAGCCTGCATTCATTCCTCAACTCACCTTCGGAGGGAATTGTTGGATATTGGGAATCATTCGGACGCCCTTGACCTCGGTTCGTTGCTCTTTGTTATTGGGTCCAGTTGCTTGTGCAGGATAAACACCAGCAATCTAAAGACGAATATCGACAATGAAAATACTGTAATCTGTAAAAAAAAAACATTTGAAAAAACAGTGGAACACTCGCGCCCCTTGGATAAATAAAAATACTGTACAAGTAAAGATAAGCACGCCGTTTTGCTGCTTCATTTTGGCGCGGATTCCGTCATGAATGACATTTGGCTATTTATTGCGGAAACTTGAAGGCATATAGGAATTGATCATTTATAAGTCAGTCTTTCACAATTAATCCATATTCTTTTTCGATTAAGATTTGCATGCGTTTTTCCTAACTATACATTTTTCTCTGGTACCAACTTAAAAAGGTTCAGCTGTAATTGGGTCCCCTTAACCATGTCAAAAGAACCAAGAAGATGGAAAATATTGGAATTTCTAAAAGACAGATAACAAATTATTCAGAGAATCCTTCAGAATTATTTCATCATCTAATTCTAACCCATCTAGGACTATATTGAAGACAGCTTCTGAGAACAAAATGAAAGAAAAATGAATGACAATGAAGGTGAAGATGCATGTAAAGGTGTTATTTTTGCTATTCTTAATTGGCTTGGTCTCAAATTGTCCGTGTCTCACATTGTTCTGTATTGAAAATTCCAATTCTTGAATTGTCCAAATTTCAAGTCTTGAATTGTCCAAATTTCAAGTCTTGAATTGTCCAAATTTCAAGTCTTGAATTGTCCAAATTTCAAGTCTTGAATTGTCCAAATTTCAAGTCTTGAATTGTCCAAATTTCAAGTCTTGAATTGTCCAAATTTCAAGTCTTGAATTGTCCAAATTTCAAGTCTTGAATTGTCCAAATTTCAAGTCTCGAATTGTCCAAATTTCAAGTCTCGAATTGTCCAAATTTCAAGTCTTGAATTGTCCAAATTTCAAGTCTCGAATTGTCCAAATTTCAAGTCTCGAATTGTCCAAATTTCAAGTCTTGAATTGTCCATAACCCAATTCTAACCTGTCCTTCTGTCACATGAAATTTACCATCAGGCGTCCACAAGTAATGGAGAAACCATTTTTCACACTAACCATATTAACAGCAACAGAGGGATTCATTTTTGGTGCCACTGGACCAGTTGGAGGTGCTACTGGAACCTGTTTCATATTTTGCACTGCTGCTGACGGTGATGACGAAGGGCGATTGCCAGCAATCAACGGCACATTTGGCATCATCAATTGATTATTTGCCACCGAGTTCTTGATGACGTCATTCGCAGGCGAAATTCGCTGTTGCTGAAGCACGCCCTGGGGCATCTTCGACCTTTGCTGCAACTGCACTTGCTGCTGGTTGCGATTCACGTTGCCCGGGGACTGGGCCAACATAAACTGCGGGACTCGGTAGGATTTTAACCCAACGTAACCCGGGTTCCCTCGAGATGGCCACATGAATCTAGGGTTTTTGAAGGGCTGTTGCTGCAGTTGTGGTTTCTGCTGTTGCCGCTGCTGAGTGTGTTGAACGAGGATTTGTTTGTTGCTGGGGGAAACGGGGCCGGGTATTGGCACTTTGGTAGGGTTCCACGATGGGTCCGGGATAACGCCCATTTTTTCCCGAGGGTTCATCATGCCCTGGACCATGTCTTTGACTGGCAGATGACTCTGTTGTGGATGTCTGTGTGGGGGTCCGTGACCTGCGGACAATTTGACATAGGGACACTTATTTTCCCAGAAAATATTAATAAAAATGGCCCAACATGAGGAAACTGACTTGACATAGGGACATTTTGTGAAAAAATTGCAAATACATTTCAGGCAAAATTACGGGAAGCAGATATTTCTAATCCCTGAAATTGAGGTAAGAAAAGGTCTTGGGCATTTCTCTCACCAATTTACCATCCATTTCACTAATTTTAAAAAATTACTTCCAGCATAGAGGGACTTCAACTTTTTTTTTTCTCTTGAATTTTTTTTTGGATGCCAACATCTCAATGTACAGTGCAGAGATACACTACTATTCAATGCTCCAAATGTTCTTATTGAGTTGAAAATACATTCACTAATTCAAATTCAAGTGGCAAACAATTTTTTCAGGGAATTCTGAAGAATATTTCTCCCATAAAACACAAATTAAAAATTATATAATGTAAGTCTATGGTAAAACATGACTCAACTTAGGGACACTCTTGATGCACCAATTATGTCTGCATCTCACTGTATTTTGGAGGATGAAATCAGAAAATTAAGTTATAGTTAAGAATCAGTAAGTATATAGTCATTTGCCAAATACAGTAAATTATTTTGCCTCCCATCAGCTGAGCTTGGCGAAACTGTTGATTTTCTTGCGCAGCCGATGCTCGCTTCTTCAGTCGACGACGGTTCAATAATGCACGTTTCCTTCTCCGAAGAAAAAGGTCAGGATTGAATTCCATCCTGTCCCAGTTGTCATCCAGCACTTCTCTCCCTTATAATCACATAAAAACGAGACGATGATATGTCAATAACTGAAGGTAAATGACGCGAAACGTTTTCATATTTTTCGAGAAATCATCGCGTTTCGCGCCGTGAAAGATCAAACTATATAAGCTCACTGATTTTCTCGAAACGCCGTGATACGGACTGGATTGAGATTTGAGGCAAGTCGTGAAGTCTACGAACGATGATGTCCTTATGCGGAAGATTATCGAGTCGATCCACTTCAGTTTCATCACCTTCTCCTCGTTGAAATAATCTGAGATCCCTGCGGTTCAACACGGATGATGAGAGGATTCGTTTCGGAGGTGATGATTCATGAATAATAGCGAAGTGTTGCCGAAACTTTCCATGTTTCGTCCATTCCTTATTGTGAGTGTCACGAAAGTTTCCGCCGAATCGCACCAATCGCATATTATTCCATTTCTGACCTGAAAATCGGTCAACATTTTGGTTTTTATTTATTTATAAAATAAGGCGCATTTGTAAAATGTGTATATATAGCCCCAGCATATTATATGTCAAGATATTTCTTTTTACATTACGAAGTATATGCTTGTGGACACACTTTGTGAGTCCAAAATCATCTTATGGGAGTTATTGATGAGCAGAAATGGGGAAACTGAACAAAGAACATATTACAGTTGAACCTCCTCAAGTCAAATTTCAAGGGACTTTCAGCACACACAAAAATTGACTTTTGGTTGTTTTGAGTTTGGGAAACAAGCATTTTTGTTGTGGGAAACATAGAAAAATTGCAGTAATTTGTATTTGGTGATATTCTGGGCCTTAAATTGCTTCTTTGATGAGTTGACGGGATGTTGAACTTATTGGATTCAGAGGTTCATTTGCTCAATTCATCTTTCACTTCCTTCAAAAATAAATCAAGTTACACTTTTATGGCTCTTATCTCTCCTGTGTCAAGGAAATAATAGCCAAAAGGTCTCAAAAAATGTGAGTTAAGGAGGTTTGAGAGGTAACGCCTTTGAGTTAGAGAGGTTATTAATGCATTCTTTCTAAGGGAATTCAGACAGTGACTTGAAAAAGATGTAGACTAGGGTTGGTTTGATCTATTGAGCTTCAACTGTATATTTAATTATTAGGTTAGAATAGATGATGCTTCTGCTTATTATTTGACTTATTTGATGCAGAGGTTCATTTTCCCAATTTATCTTTCACTTATTCCTTCAAAAATACATCAAGTTACACTTTTATGGCTCTTCTCTCTCTTGTGTCAAGAAAATAATAGCCAAAAGGTGTAAAAAAAATGTCAGTTATGGAGTTTTGAGAGATAAAGCCTTTGAGTTAAAGAGGTTTTTAATGCGTTGTTTCTAAGGGGAACTCAGACAGTGACTTGAAAAAAAGAAGTAGACTTGGGTGGGTTTGACCTATTGAGCTTCAACGGTATATTTATTATTAGGTTAAAATAGATGATGCTTCTGCTTATTATTTGACTTATTTGATGCAGAGGTTCATTTGCCCAATTTGTCTTTCACTTCCTTCAAAAACACATCAAGTTACACTTTTATGGCTCTTCTCTCTCCTGTGTCAAGAAAATAATAGCCAAAAGGTCTCAATAAAAATGTGAGTTATGGAGGTTTGAGAGGTAACGCCTTTGAGTTAGAGAGGTTTTTAATGCGTTGTTTCTAAGGGAATTCAGACGGTGACTTGAAAAAAGAAGTAGACTTGGGTTGATTTGACCTATTGAGCTTCAACTGTATATTTAATTATTAGGTTAAAATAGATTATGCTTCTGCCTATTATTTTACTTATTTGATGCAGAGGTTCATTTGCCCAATTCATCTTTCACTTCCTTCAAAAACATATCAAGTTACACTTTTATGGCTCTTCTCTCTCTTGTGTCAAGAAAATAATAGCCAAAAGGTCTAAAAAAAATGTGAGTCATGGAGGTTTGAGAGATAAAGCCTTTGAGTTAGAAAGGTTTTTAATGTGGTGTTTCTAAGGGAATTCAGACAGTGACTTGAAAAAAAAATTAGACTCAGTTTGGTTTGTCCTATTGAGCTTCAACTGTATATTCAATTATTAGGTTAGAATAATTGTTGATGCTTCACTCACCATGTGTTGATGCATTCATCTCACTGTTGTTTGCCAAACCCTGCACTTGATTGACCATGGGAATTGATGTAAGCATGAAATCACTTTGAGTGGTCCGATTGAACGGCAACTCATTTCTTATAGAGCTCATATCCGGTTGTGCGGAGACACCATTTTCTTTTTTACGACTGGAAATATAAGTAACCACCGCTTTTTCAAAGGTTTCCACGAGTCAGAGGTGAATGTTGTTTTTACGAATACCTGATGGTATGCTCATTTCCAAATTTGTCGAATTTCCTATAAAATGGTCTGCTGTTGTTCTTGAGGAAAAGGGAGTATTCCGGCTTCACCCCATTTGATGGTGATATGAACTCGCTGTTGTTGACGACTTTCTCATAAATTACGGCGACAGGTTCATGGTTTGAATTCTCTGTCCAAGAACTTATTGTACCAGTGTCACTTGCGTTGACCCCTTGGATGCCTTTGCCCTCATGTACCACTGATCCTGCATCACTTTGCTGAGCCAAACTTCTGATGATGACTGCATCAGAGAACAGCACAGATTTAAGATTTAAGTCTAGTGTTCCCCAACCTTTTTGGGCCCACAGACCAGTACATTTTTTATAAAAATGTTGTCTGGAAGACTTTAAAAAGTTTCTGCAATCTTGGAAAACTCAAAGTTGAGAACCAATGAAGCAGCTATACATAGTACCAGTAATACCTCACAGTTCAACCTCCTGCAATTTTAGGTACTTTCCTGCTATCTCAGTACCTACTAAGCTTTCTGTGCCTTATTTTATATAACTGTTGAGTTTGGCGCACAAAGTACAATCTGATTTTGGGAGGCGGTTAGGTAAATATAGGTCAGGTTATGTTAATTGAAAGATATTTGTAACTAACATAACCTGACCTAACCTAACTTTACCTAACTGCCTCCCAAAATCAGTTTCAGCAGAATGCAGAAAAATAAAATTCAGTTTCTGGTAGGTTGTTGTGATTATGAACTTGTCCTAAAGATTTGTCTGGATGGTAGTGCAGTCTAGGAATGAGGTACTGAGTTAACAGGAAAGTAGGTACTGAGATAACAGGAAAGTACCCAATTTTGACTGTCCTGCAATTTGATGATTGACTTTGCTGGGAGGTCAACTCCCCTCTTCTGCACAATTTGACATGTGGAGAGACATGAAACATCAAATGCCATGTAAAAAAAAAAAAAAACATGCCATATGATGTTGTCTTGCAATTTGACCCTAGTCCAGCAATGGATTAGGGTCAAATTGCAAGGTACCAACTGTAGAATGTCCTTCAAAAATTTAGGAAGGGTGGGCTTGATGAAACGTTTCTCAGAATGAAAAATTATAATGATTTATTTCTGCAAGGGGAAATTTGTCTGAGGTGCTGTCAAAAGAAAAGCCAACTTTCATGGTTTTTATCAGACACTTTCAACTGTCATTGTCTTTCTGAAATGCCACATAAAGATAAAGGACTTCATTGCTACTTTCAATCAATTCATTGTGCAGAAGAAAATTTCCTGTGGACCAGCAAAAAACTTTTGTGGACCAACACTGGTCCATGGACTGCTGGTCGGGGATACACTGGTTTAGTCAACAAGATTTTGGAGGACTACAAGCACTCACCACAACAGATCAAGCCCAAAACCACCAGTCCTTTTGGAGGTGCCCTGCTCAACAGCATCCTCAACAAACACGCACCAGAGGACGCTGCTGCTCGTCAATGGCCGCACCCAACTCTCACTTCTTTCCGAAAATAATAAGGCGATGAATCCTAACTAAATAATTCACTGATACTGAGTTCATTTAGTGATAGAAGAACGTTTCATGTTGGTTGAGTTTAAGGACCTGGATTTGTTTCTACGCTGCCTCGTCGTTCGTGTCCTGAAAGAGAAAATGGCAGTAAAATACGGGGAAAAATCGCTCACCCCACCTCCTTTTTTCTTTATCTCTCTCTCTCTCTCCGACGAGAATATTCCCAAAAAGAAGTCCGTGGACTATTGAATAGAGCGATTTGAGTTGTTTTTTCTTCCCTCAGCTGCGTTTTCCGTCAACATTTGGGACCCATAAGGGGGTTGACGATGGAATAAAGTCCTCGCGTGAATAAATACTAGGATAGTGTTGGTCTGCTACCTGTTATTTTCAAGCGTTTAGAAGCGTTATTGGAAGTCGTCAGACCGGGACTATACGGAAAGAAACATATATAAAAGCAACAGCGCTGTCCTAAAAGACGCTGCTGACGTATTTTCTCCCCTGTCGTAGAATACCTTGCTTCAGTTTCGAACGTGGACCAGAAGGGATATGTTTCGCAGGATGCATATATAAAAAAATAATAATTAAGGAAAACATTTCGAAATTGCTCGCGAAGAAATAATAGTGCTGCGCCTCGCTTTTATTTCCAGTTGAAATCTCTGGTTCAGGAAGCGGTCGACCCATCATGCACGGAAAGTGATTTTGTTCAAGTATAGATGTCGCTTCAAGGTATTGGTTTCAATTTCATTGCGCTTCGAGCCAGTATATGTACATACAATGTTCAATAAAGTACAGTATATTTCCTCAGATTTTCTATATCCTTCAGTGGCATGACGAGTTGATATTCTTCTGTTTTTGATGCTTTAATTTATTATCTTCAGCATGAAAACTTGTATTTCCCGTTTATCAATGTGATTTATATGTCTGTAAGAAAAGACATCAGAGGCAGTAAGCCTCGCAATGCAATTTTATTTAACCCCATGGTTTGTGGAATAGTTTATGTTTGGATGAACAACTCGCTTGGTGATGTATGAGTTAATTTTTATGTCTGTATATATGGTTTATGCATAATATATTAAGGTGAATGCTTTAAATTGCATCTATAGTATTTTAAAAACCCAGTCTGCGGAAAATTCATCCCAATAATTTTCAGTCGTCATAAATTCCTAAGTGATGAATTTCGTGGTTGAAAGCCACAAATGTTCTGTTGTCAGCATATTCGTTGGAAATTAGAAATCAATGTACTGCATTTTTGATCTGAATATCCTAATCCCCAACAAATAATTTCACTAGAGTTCTCCTATTTATAATGTACAATACTGTAATTACAAAGGAAAGTGAAAGTTTGACGCTACTTTACCTATGCTACGCAAAATGGGGGTGATTTTTCAAAAATAAGTTTGATTTGGGATTTCATGGTACAGTATATTGTATATCTAATAAAAACGTATAGTAAAATTCTTAAATGAGGACCGTACAGTACTTTTTTATGTTTTGGAAGTGAAACCTACAAGGAAGTGATTTTTGGAAAATAAATCAAACAAAATTGGACCAATATATGCAGTTACAATACAGGATTTGGAATCAATTTATGATTTCTTGTTCAGCCTGAAAAGTATTTTGAAAGTTTTGATTTAGGGAGGCTTATGCAATATTGTACTGTATCGCACTTCCGGAACACGAAAATATATTGCGGATGTTCCTTCGTAATGTCTAGTATAACCGCTTCCGAAAGTTGCGAGTTCGGTTCTTTTTACGGTGGTGTTTTAGTGACATCTCCTATTTCAAATAAAAAGCCTGAACAGGCAGCTTGGAGTAGATGCCGCTACTGTACTACCGTGATACGATACAAGTGCCAGAATTCTGTACAAAATGCGACATCTTCACGAAGAGTATAGTTGAAGCGTTAAATTTCTATCAATTATTTTCGCCTGTTTTCTTTCAAACTTGAGGTTTTGTATTCCGAGGAAAATCCCTCTTCTAAAGCGAAAATATTTATAATCGAAATACTGTACGCAGCAGTTTACGAAAAGATCACTTTTTTTGTACTGATGATGCGTTGCCAATCACGCCTTGCGCAGTCGTGTACACTTCTGTATAGTCAAAGCAGTGTCCAAAATACAGCAAAGAGTTAATTTTTGATTCAAAACGACGTTCATTTATCGGTACATATATACGGTGTGGTATATATAATCAAACAAGAGGAACAATGAAAACGAATGCTTCCAAATAACGATTCTAATCACGACGGAGGAAATCTGTTGCGTATCCTGGCCAAGTCACCGAGATCCGGATCAAAGTTGACATTTATTCCGGGGATGACGATGGTCGGGGGTTGCTGCTGCTGGGTGCTGCTGCCACTCGGTGATGATGGTTGTGGCTGTGGTGGTGCTGATGGTCGCTTGTTGTTGGTGTTGGTGTTGCCAGGATTGACTAGGATGTCCTCGGGTCGCCTGGTGTTGGAAATGATTTGACAGCACACGGCGGGGTCCCCGTTGGGCATGAATCCGCAAACCCCGGTCTCCCCGCGGATGTAGGACCGGATGGAGAAGCTGGCACACTCGTTGTACGCCTCGCAAGTGCCTCTGGTCTTGTCGGGATTCACGCAGGCCACGCCCAGGGCAATGGCATCTCGTTGGTGCGGGAAGCTGATTCCTATACAGGAGAACAGGACAGTATACAGTATACACATGAATTTGGGTGGGAAAGCATTAGTGGGAAGAGTTTTTCGTTGTGCCCGAAACTCGTTTTATGTAACACCCTATTATACTGTACAGTGAGACCCCAAGATGCGGACATAATTGGTGCATCAAGAGTGTCCCTAAGTTAAGTCTCATTTTCCCTTAGACTTACATTATATAGTTTTCAATTGGTGTTTTATGCACAAAATACTCACCATTCTCCCATGAAAATAAAAATTGTCTCCCAATTTAAACTGATTCCAATCAATGTATTTCAACACAATATGCACATTTGGGGAATTGAATTCTGATACCTCTGTAGATTCCACAGAAACGTTGGCATTCTCTGTGAAAAAATAACATTTAAGTGAAAAAGAGAGAAGAAAGTCCCTCTCTGCATGCTGGAGGTAATTTTTTTAAATTAGCTAAATGGATGGTAAATTGGGGAGAGAAATGCCCAATAACTTTTCTTACATCAATTTTAGGGTTGGAAATATCTGATTCTTTTAANATGTGCAAATATTCTGAAAACTGAGCATTAATATTATCCCTTTTTTATTAATTTTTATTAGAAAGTAAGTGTCCCTACGTCAAATTGTCTGCAGGTGAAGGTGTCCGCACGTGGGGGTCTCACTGTATTTCCCTTTTCTGTGTGGTATTCAGTACAGTACAGTACAGTCAAACCTGGATAACCTTCCACCCTCAGCAACCCCTGACTATTTTTTCAATTCTTTGGTGGAGCCAGGAAATATTCACAAAATGTGGTGCCATGCAGCATCAGAAAATAGTGAGAGAAAAAAACTTGTTCAGGTTAGGAGAGCCAAAGTTAGGAAAAATCCTGATTTTTTTATTTCTGCAAAGAAAAATTTCTAATAAAGGAAAAAAATCTTGGCTGGGTGGCCATTTTTTCCAGCATTCCTTCAATAGGATTAGCATTGTGGGAGTCCGCTATGCTTTGAGCTTATAACTTTTTAGAATCCGTCATTTTTTAATGAATTGAAAAGGGAAGTGTGCAGCTTTCTTATTCTCTCTTTTCCTTGGAGTTGAAAAACGTATTCAATTTTTCAGCTGAAAACTTGCTAAAATTCAAGCATCAATAATATGTTTTAAACATCAGGAACAGATCTTCATCCGATTCTAATTCCAAAAAGTATAGTTAGCCCTCCATGTTTAAAAAAAAATATATTACTTTCTACGGCAAAATTATTGATTGGTTGGCATAACCTTTGTATTCTTGTCTTCAACGACTTCATACACTTCATGTACGCATATATACTTTCCTAAGACTTGTGCAGAACCTTTAAAAAGCGAGTTCGTTCACTTGAATATAAGTCCGGAAGTTGTCTTAACTCCCAACTTCGTTAGTGAAGTGTTCAAGTGTCAGTTCCGTGCAATCGAGTTTCCCTGAGGGAATGCGTCCTTGAACTTGAAGCTTATCATGTTCAACGAAAGGGAACGGTGACTGATATGCCTAATATTGAACGTCACGCTTTCCAACCCTGGATTCTGACTACAAAGAAAAAAATGCGATAATGACGCGATTATTATGGTCGAGATAATGAGGAAAGGAAACCATTTTTCCAGAGCTCTGGGATCACTTTGCTGTGCCTTGGTCCAGTTGCTCCTAATATCATATTTGGTTCACTACGGAAAAAGCTCCATATACGAGGGTTCTAACAAAAGTCCTTGAAGTAGAAATGAAAATAGCCTACAATTGAGCTGAAATTTTTTTTTTCTTTAGGGAAAACATATTCTTTGGCACACAAAAAATATATCAGCCCTGTTTGATAAATTTTTTTGAATTTATTTCATAATTCACCCTGGCAGAGTTTTTCTCTCCATCACTCAAAAGATGAGGCGCCCCTTTTTTGTTAAAGCCCAGCTTTCCCCTCAGAATTTTTTAAATAAACTTGGCATTCTTTCTAAGGGTTGCCTCCAGGTAATCCAAGGCAATTCCGCCATTTTCATCAACAGCCGCCTTCACAGCCGCCACATTGGCCGCCACTTTGGCGGCTGTTGATGAAAATAGCGGAATTGACTTGGATGACCTAGAGGCAACCCTTAGAAAAAATGCCAAGTTGATTTCAAAAATTCTGAAGGGAAAGCTGGGCTACAACAAAAAAGGGCGCCTCATCTTTTGAGTGGAAAGCAAAATTCTGCCAGGTTGAATTATGAAAAAAATTCAAAAAAATGTGTCAAACAGGGCTGATATTTTTGTGTGTGCCAAAGAATATGTATTCCCTAAAGAAAAAAAATTTTCAGCTCAACTGTAGGCCATTTTCATTGCTACTCCGAGAACTTTTGTTAGAACCCTCGTATACAGATGGACTCTCTCTCTCTCCACAACGATCTTGCCGACAACGAATTTTCTTTATAACGAATGGGTTTTTTTGTGGTTCCATATATAGGGTTCTCTCCTCATACTGATTAAAGGGGTTATCTTCAACATAATGCTTCCCATAACGAATTTTTTCTGGTCCTTAGAATAATTTAGTTGTAGAGAGAGACTCCAACTGTATATATACAGAAAGTTGAATAAACGTGACATAAAAAAATTGCTCAATAAAAACGAGTTGACTTCTGTTTTTGTTTACATATTCGTTGAAAATTTTCCAAGAAATTAATCATGAAGAAGCCCGAAATATGCATAAAAATTGACTGCCTATATATCAAATGCAGGCTTACGTAACCTTATAGGACAATTTATTTTAAATAATTCCTGTGAGTTCCTCTCTAATTTTTTGAAAGTGAGTTTAAACGTAAGCATTATTACTTCAACTGACCTATTTGCCACCTTTAATACCCTAAAATCGACTTAACTTGAAAAATGATTGAATTATCGCCAAAATACGACTCGTTTTTCGTTTTAATATGTTTCAACAAATATTTAAGAATTTAAAACGCCAGTTTTCGGATGGATTCGCTCTTCGTCCTGTTGCATTTTTCACATTGATTGAATGCAATACAGCATTTGCAAACAGTTCGGCGCAGAACACGATTCAATTTTTCCGTGCGCTTAAAATAAACTTTCCGATGCAGCAAACCTTATTTTGGAAATTGCGAAACTGATGATGCGAATGCCCAAAGTTTTAAAAATTTCCGTTTCAGTAAATGAATTGGTACATTTCGACGCATTGAGTAAAATATATTATAAACGTGATTTCGCTTATGCATTTCAAAATCTCGAACGTATAGACCTTCGAATTTTCTTCTATTAAACAACAAAAAAAACAGGTTGAGTAAAATGATGTATTCAAAGTTGAAGGCCTTCATCGGCCTTTCGTCATTCTCTATTCGAGTTTTCATAAAATCCTTAAATGGAATGGAAAATAACGCCGTCAGCATCAGAATAAGTCAAATTTTAAAATCGAAACGATAATAACACGGGATCTGCTTGAAAATATTTTCTCAAACTCACCTTTGGATGTCACGGAATAAACTGCTGCCAGGATCACAAAAAAGCTGCAAATAACGTGCACAAATTCGTGCGTCATCTCGAAAACGCTTTTCTTTCTTCCTTGACCGCAGGGAAAAAAAATTAATTCGATGATAATTTCAAAATTCAATCACCGTCATAATACAGACCATCACGCAAAATGTAGTTTAGACGCGAGTCCACTTTGTTTTCATCAAAAATCACTGACAATTCTTTTTTTTTTCGAGAACGGTTTTATGGGTTTCTGGAAATTGAAGGAAACCGTGTTTCACGGCAGTTGAGACTTCAGAGATAAATCTTTTTAAAAAATGGCCCAAAGCGACCCGGGTTCACTTGGTGATGGTTCAGGTTGTGAAATCGCAACCTGTATAGTGAAGATTGCGCCAGATAGGGGCAACCGTTTTATAGCCTTGAGGGACATGAACATAATGTGCTCAGTGAGTAGCGCTTCACTTGTCTAAGGCATGTACTTTTCCCCGTTAAGTTCTCACGTAGTCAACTCAACAGTAACTGTACTAAAATTCCGCCCCGAGGCGCCTCGGGAAAGTGCACTAATAAAGGAAAATTTAAAATTTTGAATGATGTGGAATAATGTGAAATACAATCAATCACTTATTTTGATTGTATATATGTTGATACAGCATCCTTTTACCATATGAAGGAGGCATACCATACTTGAGGAAATTGAGACAAAACATACAGTATGTCATCATGTTTTTGGGTACACTTATAAAAAAGGGATAATAATAATGCTCAGTTTTCAGAATATTTGCACATGTTGAGACAGAACCCAATTCCAGGAAGGACTGCATAGTTCAGGAGTAGTTTCTCCTGGATGTTCGTTTTTCATTGTTTTTCTTCTGTTGTTTTTCATTCAGCTTTTTTTCTGAATTTCAAAAATTTAAGAGCAAGAAGAAATAAAAGTGTGTCCCTCTTCATCAGTTTTCTCAATCATGATGTATGTAAAAAAATGTCACATTGAAATTTGTTGAAATTTGAGTTTTTGCCAACAAATTTTAAAATAAAATGATATGAAATTATCTCATGATGGGAGTCATCTTTTTCTGATCATACAGGCGAATAGTGTCACAACAAATATTTTTGATGGATAATTGACTGAAATAACTTTAATTTTATCTTTTAGCCCATATTATAGACACTAAATTATTTGAGTTTATTTATAGTGAATATTAGTATAACAAAAAGCTATTTTAGTGTTTGCAATGGCTTTCTTGTACTGAGATTTTACACTGTTCTTTTGTTTTGGACTGACCCCCTGCACTTCTACCCATACAAACCTGGGAGTTTGCTGTAACAGGATTGCATTTTATCTGTACAGTATACTTGTATAAAAAAAATTTGTGTCCCATAGGGCTTGTAATCAAGGATCACAAAAGAAATAAATAAAAGCAAAGACCATATAAGCCTTAATTGAGGCCAAGAATACATATTCAAGTGGTTTCCTTCAATATATGTTTCTAATTTTAATACATTTTTTAAACATTATTAGCAGAGTCAAATAAGATTAAGAATTCAAGAGAATAAACACAATTAATCCACTCAACATAATTGAATAACAAGATCAGATCACAAAATAAAGAAGAATCACAGATTTGTGCACAAATCAGGAAATTTGAGGGAGAAGATTGTCCTTCAAGAGTTCAGGACAGACTGCTCAGGAATTTGAATTAATTAGAGCTTTTTTTTATTTTTGGAATATTCTGGTCAGGTGAACTGACCAGAAAATTTTGAGAGAGAGAGAGAGAGAGAGAGAGAGAGAGAGACTCTATCTCTCTCTCTCTCTCTCTCTCTCTCTCTCTCTCTCTATCTCTCTCTCTCTATCTATCTATCTATCTATCTATCTATCTCTATCTCTCTATCTCTCTATATCTCTTTCTCTCTCTCACCAACAAAATTCTCTTGAAAGTAGATTTTTATCTGGTCCCTTGAATTTTACTCTCTACACAACAAAATTCATGGGAAGAGATAAAATTCCATTTTAAGAGATTTTCGTTGTGAAGGAAGAGTCCACGACCACCTGTACTAACAATAAACTGCATAGGAAAATAAAGGGCATTTTCTGAGTGATCCAGGAACTATGTGCAAGCAAAGCTTTTTGTTTATTTATATGCGGTTTGAGAATGCTGCCACAACCACATGTTTTCGGAGCCACCAGAATCATATGTTTCACTGCCCCGCAGCAGAAGTTGAACTACTGTACGATATACTCTGACTTCCGGATACCACCAGTCACTTCGTGCGTATCCTTACAACGAATAATAAACTATAGCTTGGGGCTCTTTCACCTAAAAAAAATACAATTACATTTTCTCTTTTTTCTCGCCAACTGCTGCTCAATTCGAGGCAGGATGTCGACGACGAATGACGAACGCGAACGACACCAGGAACGGTGAATAAATGCCACTCCCTTAATCTTTTTTGTTTTGTTTTCTACCCACTCATCTGCTGGTCTTTAAATATACAGGGTTGGACACGAAAAAGATGTAACGAATTCTGAGAATAGTTGCAGATCACATAAACTCCTGTAGTCAAATACTGGCTTAAAATATATAAACTTGCCCAACTGGATTTAATTAATTTACTGTA